CTTGTTTTCTTCCAGCCAATCAGAAACGTCGTGCTTTTTGTACTATTTAAAGAAACGTTCATAAGAAAAGTGTCGTAAGAAAATGTCATTTAAAAAGTGCTTTACCTGTGCCTCCAAGTATTTGATGAAGAAATTCAATAGAAAACTCTTCCCTTGTCGATATGCACCAGCGATTGAAATGATGACAACGTGTCGATCCTTGATATGATCGGATTCGAGAACTTGTTTTAATTCACTCAATTCCAATTGAAATGAATGATTCACCGGGGCCACAATTTGAATTGCATTGATTCTGCCTGAATTAAGTTCACCGGCTGAGATTTGATGGCATAAAATGCCAAATACCACATAAACGATCCACATGATTGATATTTATAAACTGCGTCTGGTGTTTGATCTGCGTAAATAGATCTAATATTCTCAAATGAAACTCGTGGTCTTTTCTTCTGTGCACAATCAATATATATTTTATTATGTCTTTCTTGTTCTGTGGTCTTATAGCAACTAAAATAGAATATAAACCGCTTCTCTCCTTTCCCTCTACTGCTCTCTATCTGTGGTGCGTGCACAGCTCTGTTGTGTATGTTTGTGTGTGCCTTACACTTATAATGTAAAGTCTTGCGTTCAGTGTGTGAGTGTATGAGCAATTAGGGTGTTTCCACATGGAAAATATTAAAAAGTGGCTAGCATCATTTTGAAGAGCGTAAAATTCTGTATAAGATCATTTGATTTTCGATGCTGATTGGTCGCCGATGTCACTTCCTGGACTAAAAACACATTTGTAAATTGATTTCATGTCGCATTCACGCCAGAATCTGTAATTAATGACATTTTAAGATTGAACAAAATTAAAAACATGAAAAATAATTTTAATATCAATATTATTGCTTAAATATTTAAAAAGTAACACAAAAACTAACAATTTTACCACAATAAACCAAAACAATGCAAAATTGCCAATTCATTTGACACATAACCTGTCATTTGTCATGCGTGAGCAAATCACGCTTCAAATGTCATTCTGTCAAATGAATTGGCGAATTTGCATTGTTTTGGTTTATTGTGGTAAAATTGTGAGTTTTTGTGTCACTTTTATTAATATTAAGGCAATTATTTTGATATTAAAATTATTTTTCATGTTTTTAATTTTGTTCAATCTTATATTTTCATCAATTACAGATTTTGGCGTGAATGCGACATGAAATCAATCTACAAATGTGTTTTTAGTCCAGGAAGTGACATCGGCAACCAATCAGTATCAAAAATCAAATCATCTTATACAGAATTTAACGCTCTTCAAAATGATAATAGCCACTTTTTAATATTTTTCATGTGGAAACACCCTATGAGCATGCATTATGAGTATGCTCATAGCAGTCCCAACATCTGGAGTCGCATGCCAATGATATTTATATATTCATTACTATCAGCGGTCACGATACAACATAAAAGAATATATTCAACTGAACATATAGCAGTATGTGTTGCGGCGATTCAAGTCCTACTTTTGTTGAGAAAAACAAGCGATAAGCAGTCACACTAGCAATACACTCTAAACCGGTACTTTTTTCTCGCTGTGAAATCCCACGTGCTTCATAATAGCGGGGATTTTGCAAACACAATAGAAACTTCGTTTTTATATCAATTCAGTGTCAAATAAAAGTTCACAAACAAATCGGAGCGTATGCGTCACTTGATTGTATTATATTTAGAAATTTACGAGAAAAGAAAATTACGAGAAAGCAAAGAATAGAATAAAAACACAACATCCACATTGATAACATTTGTTTGTCGCATGCATGATTTATGCCGTAACGTTGCTACGTCGCTTGCTATACACACCGCATCGCACAGTATGTATTCGGATTAAACCTACACCAACATATGTATGACTAATATTTGCATGCAACTCAAAAACTAGTTTTACAACAAATATTGGTTGTTGATCAATTATTTGCTTATTTTTGCGACGTTTTATGCCATCGAACTGCGGCTGATGAACTTAGTTCAAGAGGTGCCGTCTATTTGTAGCTAGTGTGAATCATTCGTTGCAATTTCTTCTTAGTAGAAACTTCTTATGAAAATGAACGCAAAATATATGTATAAAAACGTTTTCGTGATTTAAATCTCTATAAGAAGCAGACATTTCGTTTTGTGATTTGAAATGTCATCGGTAAAATCAATCAAGCGTCTGCATTCGCAATATATTACCAATACTGGTTCTTTCCGCTGAAAATGTTTCAAAGACGACGGGTCGGTATGCGGTAAATGGACTTCAATATTGCGGACGTCATGAGTATAACATTCGTTACTTTCGCTTGAGTGTTAACGTATTAAGCGGTGTTTCAGTTCGTAGTTCGTTGAGAAAAAGGCGATTATCAGCGATTGCATGACTAATCAATTTAAATTGGTTCTTTTTTCGTGTTATAAAAACAAATGAATTGAATCATATGGTGCGGGGATTTTTTAGCATCAAAACTTAGACGCTTAATTAATGCAAACATATCAAATTTCTTGTTATCAGTTTTAGAGTTCAAATTGGGCGGCAAATGTGATTGAACAAAAACAAAAATTAAAATAAGTAATCGATGATCGCCAAATGATTCAATAGTGTTGAGTTGAAAGGCATACTTTGTAATGTATGTTCATAATACTTACTTTTTCATACTTTGTATTTGTTATCATCAAAAGCTACTCGATTGTGCAAAGAAATTAATGAATTGAACTTGAAAGCAGCTTTGTACTTGAAATTGAAATGACCTAGGTCACCTAAAAGGTTTAGCTAAACTGAAGGTTGAATTGTTACCAAAACCAACATTTTTTAAAAACAATGTCTATTCCACCCAAACAACATTAATAAAACATTTGGAATTTGGTAAATAATTTTATTTATATTGATCTAAAAAACATGATTGACATCGATTTTTCTTCAATCATTTAAAAAACACTTGAACAATAAACATTGGGGCAATAAAATTATCCGAAGATCCTCTTATGCCATGGACGTCGTTTCTTCGGTGGTGGTGGCCTATTCGCTTCATTAGCTTGTTTCAGTGCGGCTTGCAAGCTGTCTATTTCTCGTTCGAGTACGGGACGATGATTGTGATAAGCGTGATTAGACAGTTCATCATTACCCAATTTTCTTGATTCAAACTAAGCAAAACATTCGAATTAAGTCGAGATTAAAACACGTTTTGAAATTTGTATACATACCTCTTGCAAAATGCTATTCTTTGTATTCGAAAGCAGCCCAAAGAAATCATTGTCGTTTAAAAACCTTCCTCCAATACCACCCCGCACTCTATTCTCGAACGATGCTTTCAACTCTTTAACTAAGGCGGCACTGTGATCATTTGCACGTTGCTTTGAACGAAAAATATAAAAAAAAACTTGAAATATTCCGTTCCATCAATTTCAAGCAAATACTTACAAGGAAATTTTGCCGCTTTGCTTCATTTATTGCAGCAAACTGTAGCTGTCTTTGTTCGATATTCGCTTCAAGTTTTCGTTGAATCATAGATTTGTATTCATTGTCTCCTGGTTGCGATTGGAACTGAAATATAAATTGGGAAAATTAATCATTGACTGGAAATTGGTTAGTTTTTATTTAACATCAATAAAAGACATACCTGATTAACTGCTGCGTTCTTTTTGTTTTGATGAACTCCAACGTAATCACCGTGACTGAAGTATTGAACTCCATTGAGAGACCCATGCATTGAATCGCTATAAGATTGCAGGGCACGAGTATATGATTCCAACGTTTTGGCCAATGAGTCCTTCAAAGCGTTTAGATCACTTTTAAGCTTTTCACGACGATCTCTGGATATTTCATCATCGCCCATTTTTCTGGTAGCAAACTGTGAATTCAAAATCGATTCAATTTTATTTATTCAATTGAGAATTTAGTTCACTTACATCTCTTAAAGCGGTATCGGTTTCGGATTGGAACACATTGTTCAACTGAGCAAAACTGAGTTCGGAATTTATCTTTTCAATTTCTTGGAGAAGATTTCGCTTAACGGCTCCAACAATTTCACCGCTGATTTTTTCATTGTGTAAATTGGCTTTTTCCTACAGAACCATTGTCATTGAAAGTGTGCATTAATGGAACGAAGGAAATTTAAAAGGGTCGAAAGTAAACTTACAATGAAATCCCTGCGTTTTCTTTCATTTTCGGCTTTGAATGTTTGATATCGCTCTTGTGTGCCATTTTCAATTTTTTGCTGGAATTTTGTTCGAAGCTCATCGCCACCGAGCTTTGGTTTTTCTAAGAACTGTTTGAATCAAAGTGAATTTATTAACAAATCAATTGAATTAAGAGCGACACCGATCATTCTATACCTGTGCCAATACACCAGTCTTTGTCTGCTCATGAAGTTGCACAAGTTCATTTTCGCTCATAAACGGATTTGCATTCTTAAATGCTGTTTCCATTGCATCACTGTACTTTTGCATGCAATCATTGTATAGAATTGTGTTGCTTGCTTCAGCTGTTGCCTATTTGAATAGAAATAACGATTTGAATAAATGAATCTTCAACAATAAATTCTGCATTAATTTCAACATGATAAAGCATAAAACACATACCATTAAAACCGATTTTGGTTCCGGCAATGAACCTCCGTTGAATACATTCGTATAAGCTTGTAAATATTGTGAAAAATCGCGAGCGCGAACTTGTTGACCGTTGATTTTTTTCACAATTAACCTTTCCGGAGCAAAAAGTAATGGAGCCAATTCCTTAGCGTATTGTTTGAACTCTGCTGAGATTTGATTTAGTTCGCCCGAAAAATTTCGTGAATTTGCAACTGCCAATCCTGGATGAGGCATTAGAAAGGCGTCTATTTGTTGAAAACTCATTACGATTCGTCGTCTCAACTCTTGCATTTCAGGTGTTTGTTCTGAATTTCCAGCAAATACTTCATCCGCAACCTTTTTTCCATTACCATATGCTGTTTCATATGCGAATGGCCAGTCACGAACGATGAAGAGTAGCTTTTGGAACGGTTTTTCATTTGTTTGTTCGAGGGCAAGACGGCCGTATTCGGTGAATAGTTCCAAATGTTGTAAATCATCTTCGCGAATGTTTTGCATCAAATTGTAACACTGAACAGACGACAACATCATACTGAGCGCAAATATTGCCGTGTTATCACTTAAACTGCTATGATCGTCAAAAATGCCTTGCGTGTCAAGCAGGAGAATAGCAATTTTTTCACCACTTGGAAAATCATGGGTAAAAATATCGGACCACATCCAAATACCCATCGTTTCTCGCTTTCGACCGCTTCGCCATTTAAACCCCTCTAATTTACTATTGGTCTTGTTTTCTTCCAGCCAATCAGAAACGTCGTGCTTTTTGTACTATTTAAAGAAACGTTCATAAGAAAAGTGTCGTAAGAAAATGTCATTTAAAAAGTGCTTTACCTGTGCCTCCAAGTATTTGATGAAGAAATTCAATAGAAAACTCTTCCCTTGTCGATATGCACCAGCGATTGAAATGATGACAACGTGTCGATCCTTGATATGATCGGATTCGAGAACTTGTTTTAATTCACTCAATTCCAATTGAAATGAATGATTCACCGGGGCCA